GAAGCTTCCAAGTGCAATGTCCAACAACCCAATTTGGTCACCACCATAAAAGCCCTTGCCTTTGCTGCTATCTTTAAACACATCCTCCAACATTGCCAATCCTTTTCTCACTTCCTCTATCAACCTCTTCTTCTCATCCTCTTCCGAAGCTCCTCTAATGGATCTCATGGTTGGATACAACTGCTCACGTAGTCACAAACTTCATAAGCTACACTTTTTTTTTATCATACATTATTTCTTAGGTTAAAATAATGAAAATGAGTTAAACATTCATTCAATACAAAAAATAGTACACTTTCAGCGTCTTGTTAATTATCACTAATCATTAGATATGCATCATTTTTACAATTTCTTTTTCATGATAATTTATTTGAAATTTACAAAAAGAGTAAACTTGAAAAGAAATTTCTTAAATTGGTAAGTAGCCTTTGGAAACATAAAACTGCATCACTTTTAAAACTAAATGGGGAACAACGACAGGGATTAAGAGAGTTATTATACCGTTTGATCAATGTAGACGGTCCAGAAACGAGCAATGGCGCGGTCATAAGGATCAGAAGGGAGAATGGGAGAGGCAGAGAGCCAAACATCATCCACATATTGCACAATGATCAAAGACTCGCAGAGGGGTTTGTCCTTATGAATGAGAACTGGGATTTTCTTGTAAATGGGGTTGGATTGAAGAAGAAGCTGGCTTTTGGACGATAACTTTTCCTCATGGAAGTCATACTTCACTGATTTCATGTTTAGAGCTATCCGAACCCTCAACACGTATGGGCTTGGCCATGCTCCCAACAACTTCACCTCACTCTTCATTGTCACCTGTTACAATTCCCTAGGTTTGTCTTTCTACTTGGATGCTCATCACTAATAATTAAATAGAAGAAGGAAGCAATAGTGATGAGAAGATTAGTTGATGTAGAGTGTTAGGAGGTTAGTTCACAACGTGAACGTAGAATGCTAGATGAAGTTGTGTACTGTTACCTACCCCTGTCCAATATTCTACTGCACCTACTTCCTACCTTTCATTAATGTCACAGCTAAGTTATTAGATTGAATTATTAAATATTGTAAATCTTATTCTTCAACGTTCATATTCACATCCTAAAATCCACTCAAGAATATACATGCTTTGATATGAGGCCTCGAATACAGGCATTATAATTGACTACAAATCAGATAAAGCCACTGTAATTGCAAAAACTAGATCCCAGGGAAAGCAAATTCATACCAACATATCAGAAATATGCATCTAAGTCCAGTATCCCAACATCAGGGAAATCTCAAGCTCCTGTGTGGACATACGGATAAACCAATACCCACATTTATGCCTGTTGAATATAGTGAAAAACTATATTTGGATTTATCTTCCTTGTGTTGAATACACACATAGGGTTCTCTATTTATAATAGAAGAAATATGGGCTAAGCTCAAAATACAAATGAGAAATAATAACAAACTAACTAAAAGATAAAGGATATAATATATCTAACACTCTCCATCAAGCTGGAGCATACAAATTGTATGAACTAAGCTTGGAATAGATGAACTCAGTGTTGAACTAGATGATTTGTCTTCAAGAGTGAGGCAAACATAGATGGACTAACAACAGCTTGTGAAACTTCAACTTCAAAAGTGGATGAAGGAGAGCAGTTGTGGATAATGACAAACTGCAAGGACTGATTCCCAATCAATGATGGATGAGTGACGGGATCAACAGTCGTAGCTGAAAGCTAAGAGCTACAAAACTGCAGGGACTACACTAAATCCTCATCAATGATGGCTGGGTGACGGGATCAACAGTAGTAGCTGAAATCTACAAAACTGCAGGGACTACACCCATATTTATGTGACTTGTAGTGTCTTGGAAACGTACTCCCCCTTAGTGTGAAGGGCGGAAATATGAAATATCACAGTTGCTGGACCACTAAAACAAAACAAAATATTAAGCTACAATGCTGAAACAAAGGCATCAAAGATCCAAAGATATGTTGGAGGTCCAAAATTCTTTGCTGGACAACTCCCAAGTGGTGATACTTAGTAGTGTATCATAAGAAGATCGGACTAAACTCTAGCCCAAGAAGAACTGACGCAGTTGCGTCTGTCTGAGGCGGTAGCGACTGCAACGGCAATTGACTGCTATAAAACTGTAGGGACTAAATTGTCATCACTAACTGATGGGGCCTGTAGTGGCTGGAAGCTACAAAACTACAGGGACTGCCATCACTAACTGACGAGGTGATGGGGGCCTACAGTGGTTGGAAGCATACGGTGCCTGGACAGCGACAAACGACGCGTGGACAGCGGCAAACGGCGCGGGACAGCGGCAAACGGCGCGGGACAGCGGCAAACGGCGCGGGACAGCGGCAAACGGCGCGGGACAGCGGCAAACGACGCGAACAGCGGCAAACAGTGCCTGGACAGCGGCAAACAGTGCCTGGACAACGGCAAACAGTGCCTGGACAACGGCAAACGGTGCCTGGACAATCAACGACGGAGACGAAGACAGACGAAGATGGCAGCAATGGCTGCTCTGGAAGGTCTGAACAGAGAGAGGGAGGTCCGGCGAGAGCTGTGGAGGTGTCGCGGTGAAACTCCGACACCGGGAAGGCGGCGCGTGGAGGCGCGTTGAGCGGAGTCTGTGCTTGTCTCCGGCGGGGTTGGCCGTTGCTCGAGGAGACGCTTCAGATCTGCTGGTCACCAGTCGAAACTGTGACGGTGGCCGGCGGTGACGGCAGCATGACTGACTGGCGGCCGGCGACGGACTGGCCGGAAAGAAGCGCTGCGTGGCGGCGCGTGACTGAGAACTGGCTCCCGAAACCGGCGTGGTTGGCCGTCGCTCGAAGAGACGGTCCAGATCCGCAGGTCACCCGTCGAAACTGTGACAGTGGCCGGCGGTGACGGCAGCGACGGTGGCCGGAGTTAGCAGCGACGGCAGCGGAAAGTGGCGGCGACAGCAGTGGCACACAGGGTCTGGACTGGTGCTGACTGTGGCAGAGATTTAAGAAGAAAAAATGGACTGCCCACTGAGATTTTAGGGACTGCCGGCGGCCGGCAGACAGCAGAGACCACCAGAAGAGGATCAGAGAACTTGCTCTGATACCATGTTGAATATAGTGAAAAACTATATTTGGATTTATCTTCCTTGTGTTGAATACACACATAGGGTTCTCTATTTATAATAGAAGAAATATGGGCTAAGCCCAAAATACAAATGAGAAATAATAATTATTGAATAAAAGATAAAAAATATAATATATCTAACAATGCCATATTGATTTCTGTTTTCCACTTAGAAGAGCACTCCTGCATCTCTTTCAAGAACAACTTGTATATTGCAACATATGATGGAAGAAACTGAGTCATTATCATGTTTCAACTTTTATTGGCTATCTATCCAGGTAACATCTTACCATAGGCAGGTGAACAACCAACAAGACAACTTTGTAGCCCTGGGTTGGAGGCTACAAACTGTACAATCCCTGTCACAATTCGTCCCTCGAACGGTGTTAACCCCATTCAACGATCAGCTTAAAGTAATCCCTCAAACATTCCTAACATGGCCAAACAGAATCATCAAATATTGAAATTGTCAAATACTTGCCTTTGCCTTGACATTTGTCAACTGAGAATTACGACTAGTAAGAAAATATTTCTTTAAGCATCGTACCCTCTCCATATACTGAGAATACTGAAAGAAAAATAATCACAGTACAGAAATAAGATAGAAAAAGTTACCAGCAGACCATATGGATATACAAATTTATCTATGCTCCCATGATACAAAATTCTAAGTACCCAGGTAGAAATACCAATGCAAGAAAAAAAACACAAATAAGCAAACATTATTATTCATATGTTTTTACAGCTAAAATTTTGTAGGAGTTTATTTCCTCCTAGCACTAAATTAACTAGAAATTGTTTTAATGGATAGAAGAAGCAAGTTATAAAACTAATACAGAGAAATGATAGTGCAATAAAATATGAATCTTTATTATGTTTTTCAGCCCTCCAACCAGTATCAGTGTGATAATCAGATAAGTCACTGAAACTAATAATACAACTCGATATACGCTCTTTAGTGGTTTGTCACATTTGGGCCTCACTATTTTTTCTTGATAACAATCTTCCCTCTTCTCTTCTCCCTCTTACACAATTTATACCATTATGTTATGCTAACTGATGGCTACTAATCTGTTTATATAAGTAACTATTCTATTACAATTTTCTTAAAACATTTCCAACCCCCGTCCCTCCTTTAATAATTTCTCTTCATTGAGGTCTCCTCTTACAAGTTAAATCAAACTTTGACAGAAATTTCAGTGAGATGAAAGGAATTTAGACTTTTAGACCTTGTATCAAGTAGAAAGTAAATAGTCATTTATTACTGTTCTCCGTAACAGGTCTCAAAGGATGGAAAAAATACAAGAAAAATAGAAGGTTTCTAGAGTTACTTTCCATAAAAATTTCTGTTTAAATATCTATACTGTTGCGCTTGATCTTGTTATATTTCCAACACTGTTTAGATCTCCATGCTATCAAAATGCCTGATTTTTCACTTTAGCCGTTGCTGATTATTGTTATTATTCTTAAAAACAATTAAGCCTGTGTTAGGTTCCTAGGTAGAAGAAACCAGGAAAAACCCACTGCAACCACCTATACTCACTGAATAGATCTTGTATTATTGATTCTAGGCAACATGTACAGCATGAATGCAGCCAAGGGACAATGTTCCCTTCACAGGATGCCAATGATCCTACCAACACTTCTCCAAACTTTCAAAAATGTCCCCTGCATACAAAGACCCCCATTATATATAGAAAGCCTCACTCCACCTAACAAGCCCCTAACAACCCAACTAACAGTTACTTCTATATATGTTTCCTTCTAATATACACATTACATATCCTATCACCCTGGTACCAAATTCAGATTACCATTTCAGACATTTTAACGAACCAGTAAGTAATGACTAAAAATTCTACCAATTAATATATTCTTTCCACCAAATTAACTAAAACTAATTGTAATAGATTCAAGCAAACTAACATAATTTTTAACACCATGTAATCTTTACAGATTTCAATAGATATTAATAACTTATTTACATCAGCAGTAATGCTTTTTCATGAAAACAAGTCTTAGCACTTCATGACTATTAACGATTCCTTTGAAAGAATTTCAAATTTTAGCAGATGAGTACGTCAACTCTGAAGTAAATCATCAATTTTTCATTATTCATCAAAGCTCTCTATAACAAGTCTTAAAGGATAGGAAACCTACAACAGGAATATAAAAAGCTGCAAGAATTACTTCCATTTAAAATCTCTATTTACATTCTTCTACTAAAAAATGTCTATCAAATTCGAAGAAATCTCTATTACATTTGTTCAGTAAACTTACTAGGGCAAAAGGATTTAGGTGTATGCACAATTCCAATATTACCCTACAACATCTTGAAGTTTTCTAAGGGATTTGAAAAAGTAAAACTCCCTAGTCGCTACTGTGATGTTCTGTTTCAATATTTTGGAATTGAAAAATACCTGGAGGTCCCATGTCACTCCTTTAATCATGAGAGTAACTGGTAACATCATATGCAAGTTACTTTCAGTGGAACTACCAAGAAAGAACGAGCAACACAGACAACAATTACTGCCCTGATAATTCCATCATAAAGTGGCATACGCAAAACTCAACTAAGTTCTCCTAACAAGACATTTCTCTATTGCTTCATCACAAAGCTCAAGAGTATTTTCCCAGTTTCCTTCTTCATAGTTTACATCAACAAAAATATCATATATCTCTTTTTCGGCAACAAATCCTTGAGTTCTCATCTCCTCAAATAGCTTCTTAGCCTCCACATATTTCTTCCTCTTACAGAAACCCTTTATAAGAGCATTATAGGAAGCAGCAGTTAGACTAAATCCCTTTTCAACCATTTCTTTATGCAAAAACCATGCCTCTTTCATATTTCTAGCTTTACAATGCCCTTTAATCAAAATATTATAGGTATTATTGTCAGGCATCACTCCTTGAGCATACATCCTCTTATAAATCTCTGTTGTAGCACGCATGTTATTTCTAATACAGTACTGCTTCAAGAGAAAATTGATTGTTGTGGCATTCGGCCTTATACCTTTTTCGAACATCCATTTAATTAGTCTTTCACCATCTTCCAGCATCCCTGACATGCAAAACCCATTCATTAGCACATTGAATGTAACAATTGTAGGCTGAAGTCTTTTACCAAGCATAACCCACAGCATTTCATGAGCCTTGGCCATTTCACCCATCTTACAATAAGCGTCCATGAGTGTAGTATATGTAATAGTGTCAGGATAAAACCCTGCCAGATCCATTTCTTCCATAATTTTTATGGCTTGCTCTATATTTCCTACCTTACAAAGACCATTGATAAGTGCATTATATGTGTAGACATTTGGTTGAAAGCCCTTCTCAGACATTTCAAGAAGAAGTTCATTTGCTATATCTACCTCACCACGTTTACACAGGCCATCAACCAATGCTGTATAAGTGACAACATTAGGAGTCAAACCCTTCTCAACCATCTGGTTGTGAAGAGAGAATGCATCATTCATTTCCCCGGCCTTGCAATACCCATCTATAAGAGCAGTATAAGTAACTTCATCTGGTTCCAACCCTTTCCTAAACATTTCACTAAACAGTTGGCGTGCTTCCACAACCTTTCCAGCTTCACAGAGCCCGTTAATCATGGAAGTATAAGTCACGAAATCGGGAACTATTTTCTTATGCCTCATTTCATCAAACAGTTTGTATTCAGCTGAAACATTCCCAGACTTGCCGAACCCACTGATGAGAGTTGTATACACAACCTTATCAGGAAAAATACTCTGGTTTATCATCTCCTTCAGGACTTGCTCCGCTTCAACCACTCTACCAGTCTTACAAAGAAGGGAAATTACGCTATTGTATGTGTATTGATTTGGCTTACACCTCTTTCCCTGCAACTCTTCCAGGAGCTTCAAGACCTTTCCTATCTGTTCAACCTGACAGTATCCATTAATTATAACACTATAACTTACAACATCAGGAAAGCTCCCCCTAAACTCCATTTGTAAGAGCAGATTATGCGCTTCTTTTAAGCAACCCAATTGACAGAGTGAATGGAGAATAATATTATACGACATGGTGTTCCAACAAACACCCACTTCTGGATACTCTTTGAACACCTTAATTGCCATCTTTTTCCCATCAAAACTGTTAGATAGCCTAGCTAGAAACAAATAACAAGAATCTACAGAAACAAGAACGCCGTAATTTACCAATTTATCAAACAGTTTCCGAGCCTCTAGAAACCACCCTGCTTCAACAAGAACTTGGAAGAAAACATCAAACACAAAGGGATGTGCACCCCAGTCCTTGTAAGTATAAATCAACCTCTCGGTAAATTCAACAAACGAGTTACCAACATCCAAATGAGGCTTTTCCCAGAACTCAAAAACCAGCCTATGAGCCGTTCTCAAGTCCTTAGAAGCCACAGCAATATGAACAACAATGCAAAGGGCTTCCAAAGAAGGGTCCCTCCGCAGGCGCGTCCAGTTGAAGAAATCCAACACCAGTTTATAATCATCCTTGATGTTCATAAGAACCCAAATGAAATGGTCAGGCTTGAACTTTGCCTCGAAGGGCTTGAGAATCCGGCGAAGAGGCTCGGAGCGGCGCTGCTTAACGGTGGTGGAAATATGGTGCACAAAGTCAGTGTCTTTAACTGAAGGCTTTCTTGGGGAGTAATCAGGAAAAGGTCTGGCATTGCTTAAACCCAAAGAAGAGGAAAACTTCACACTCAGACATTTTGGACCAAAACCCATAAATGGATTACGATCATTATAACGAAAACAGTTGAAATAAGAGGAGATAACTGCTCTCTTCATGTGAAAAAGGTAAACCCATTACACAAGTTTTGAAATTTCTCTTCTACACTGCCAACAGAGAAGGTTTCTCATGGACAATTCAAATAAGTAAGCAACAAACTTTGGTGGGGTTTTGTCAAGGAAAGGAGAAGCACAACACAGTACGAGAATACTGCGTCTTTTTCTTTATTATTATGGCAATTTTGTAAACATAAAATGAAGATTAGAGTGAACTGAATGATGAAAAAATCTGAGAAGAAGGAAAAGGTGAATGGGGAAGCTCTAAAGTTTTGGTCTTCGATTTAGGGGTGCCGCTATGGTGGCAAAAAGACTGTTTGGAACCTAAGGCAAAGAGGGCCAAGAGACCAAACCAACCCAAAAAATATTTCCCTTTTTATTTTCGCAATAATATATTTGAAAATACCTATAATGATATACTTTAATTAATTGAAAAGTAACCAAAGGAGAAAAAAACTCTATTTAATTTTATTTGAAAAGTTTATTCCTCTTATATTTTAAATTTACTATTATTCATTCAAATTATATATATTGAACATAGAATGATTTGGTGAAATTATTTTACCATATTATGAATTCCTTTGAATATGGCCGGATCATGTGGATAATTTTGGTTAGGTGTAGACATACTTTAATTTCAAGTTTTTCATCTTCTTCTTCATTCTATAGTTTTTATTATGCAACTAAACGTATCCACATTTAAAATACTTTAATTATGTTTTATAGTTGGAAACAGATATTATTTTGTTTTATACTTGGAATGAGATATTATTAACAAAATCGAATCAGATATATAATTATATAATTCAAAAACTCGTCTATTTGTAATATTATCTCTAATATAATATTTGATTGCAATAATATATCGTAACTTAATAACATAATAAAATATAAATATGCAAATAGTTATAACTAACTTTTAATAATAGAGAAATTATCTCTAGTATAAATACCTAACTATTATATTAATATTGAGAAATATATACAATACCATCACATCAATATTTTACTTTAAATTATATTTTTTCTATATTTATATACGTTATTATTTATTAGCTTTTTATTTATTTATTAGTGCTAATGTTAACGTATTTATTTACAATGATTTCGTCTGTTTCGATATGCGTTATTATGATTGTTTGTCCATAAGTCAACTAAAAAATTGACTTTTTTCAAGGATGTATTATTTTCGTTTTTCGGTACGGTCTTTACTTCAGGAAAATATGTTACCCGCGATTAAGCAAACCGTTGGGCACAACCTGCGTCGCTAAGTAATTCCCTAACACCCGGCGTATTGCAGACCGCCGGAATAGCGGGAGTTTTCAAAATCGCCAATTCCTCCAGGGGTTTTACGAAACCGCCGAATTAGCCAGGGGTTTTTGAGAAAACCGCCGTTATTACCAGGGTTTTTGAGAAACCGTCTCGGTATTTAGCGGGGGTACTGGAAAACCCCGACCTAGCTGCAGTTGCTCCCAAAACCGCCCCTCATTTGGCTCGGGTTTAAAACCGTCAGACATGTATTAGTTAATTTTTTTTGTATTTTTTATTGTAATTAATTGGATTATAAAAAATGGTTTTTTTATTGAGACAAAAAACATTTAATATGACTACTTGAATAAATTGTTAAAATAAACATTGTTCACTAATATCGTGCTACAACTAATTGTTTCACTACATAAAAATTAAAAAGAAAGATGTTCATTACATATTTTCTATCTAGATGTTCATCATATCATTCAACTACAATTTCATACTAACATAGGACCATAAGATATTCATAACATATCTCATATTCATTCTTCTTCATTACATCCTTGTTTGAACACACGCCCTGGAGTCAAGATACCTACTATAAATGAATCACAAAATTAAAAATAAAATTCGTCAAAACTTCAAACTCCTTGAAGGGGTAACCAGTTTCTTTTTTTTTCAGTTGAACATTGTAACAATTCTAAGAGTTGTCAACTTAACAGAGGAGTATGTATCAAATAGTATATGGTAAATTAAAGCACCAAATAAAATCTATCAGTAAAACTAGCAAAATTGGTCCAGAATAATGAGCTGAATAAAGAATCATCAGTTAATCATCCATATTGCGGCAATAAACCCCATACAAGACCACTAAACACTACACAAAAACACATATGAAAAGACCATAAGGTGAGCCTTTACATTTACCCACATATGTTAGGATTGCAATAAACTTGTCAAATTGTGCACCCAGGGCGGATTACCCCATCACATGCACATACTTGCCAACCATTGGAATATCTGCAAATGCATTTGGCAGCCTGTTAATCAGTTACTAAGACGTATACGACAGAAGGACTTGCCACTATTCAAATACTAAACTGCAATAACAATGCTTTAATATACTTGGTGTCGTAGCCTTCTAGGAAACTCTGCTGGATTCCAATCATAAAGCTTAAAAGAAATCCGACCTGTTTGGCACTACAAGTGAACTTTCAATCAGTAAAGTTTAACAACCATTATTCCATCACGCTACTACATACTTTGGAACAACAGAAAAAAAGGTTAATAAAATGATGACCCTCCTGTAATGCTAGCCTTATAGCATATACAGCTTGCAGAGTGAAACTAAATCAAACAGAATTAATTAAACCATTGGCATGGCAAATTATATACAAAACTTGATCTTATCATTCCAGTGACTTTTTGAATTTGGACTAATATGTTGATAGATGCATTCTTAATACTTATTTACATAACAATATAATCAGTTTTTTTAAAACATTCTTTTGATTGAAAAATGCATGTTCTTCTATGATCTCAGGTTTATATTATTGTCAATGCTCCGTTCAAAATTAACTGTTAGAACCCCTGCACAGGCTTATCTCGCTATCCTTAGAAAAGGACAATGATATTTGAAAAAGCTAAGAAACCTTTTGTGAACCGGATGAAGGTTTGAAACACTTTATTGGAGAGGAGCATGCTCTTCTTGGAGCGGTTCCTCCACCTCCACTTCAACGAACACCATTCAAGGTAAGTCCTGAACTCGTTAGTAGAACCATGAAAATTTGAGTGAGCAGAAATGTGAGGTCCGCAAAAAACCCTTAACAAGAAAAAGAAAACCCTTTCAACCTCTTTTCTTCAAGACGAAACTGTGTTTTCACAGTTTGGGTGGCGCAATGTTGCTCGTGGTAGCGGATTGCAATTTTTGGTTTTTTACAGGTGCTGATTTGTGATTTGTGGTTGATCTATTTGTAGAATGTGGCGGTGATTTAGGGCTTTGCATTTTGATTCAATGAGAGAACAAAAATGGCATTGTTGTAGATTTTGATGACTCACGGTGATCGATATGAGCGTTAGGTGGTGGCTGGAAGGTGAAGAAGATGGAGATCTAATGAAGGTGGCGCAGTGAATGACGGCGTGAAGGAGAA